AATTTCAATAATTGTTAAATAAATTATGGGTCTATGAGTTTTCATTTCAAAATAATTATATAAATCAAATACTCAATATAAAAAATAACATATAAAGAGAGGATTAAGAGGAAAGTCGGTCTAGTATGATAGTGTGGTCAGATGATAGCAATGACTATTGGAGGAAGATATGATGGAGAAAAGAAAATAAATATGAAAACAAAAAAATAAGAAGGGGGTGTTAGTCAATTTGGACAGTTTCATGCAAAATAGGATAATTGTTAAAGAAAAATAATTTTTTGCTAGTGGGATAAATAATAATAATTTTATGAAGCGGGATATTTTGATAAAATAACGTGGATAAATTTTTATAATCATGAAATATATATTTATGCATTTTGAAGATATAAAAACTATTTATGTATTTTAAACTTACTATTATTGATTGATAATTGCTTACAACAATGTTCTTTACTATTAAATATTTTTTGGTTAGACTATAAGATATTGTCAATTATTATTATAATGATGGTAATAACCGGAAAGAAGTAAAGGAAAAAAAGAAATATAAAAAATAAAAAATAACAAAATAAATATGAGTTCTGGTTTTTTACCTTCTAGTTCCAAGCTAAAACTTGGAATAATTTGAGAGACTAGAACTCTCATTTTTATATAGAAAAATAAAAAAAGTAGGATAATTTTGTACAATTATCTAAATTCTAGTTTTGTTAGAGTTCTACTTTACTAACACTGTAAAATTATGAGAGTTTTAGCAAGTTGTTCTAGCTCAAAACTTGGGATAATTTGAAAGTCTAGAACTCTTATTTTTGTATAGAGAAATAAAGAAAGCGAGATAATTTTTTATAATTATCTCACTTGTAATATCGTTATAGTTCTAATTGACTAACACAATAAAATTTTATCATAGTTCTAGTTCTAAGTAACTAACACTGAAAAATCTTATTCTATAAGTTATTCTAGTTCTAGTTTTGAGTTCTAGCTACTTGACTAACCTCCCCAACCCCCCGCCCCGCCGGGATCAAACTTTTTTCTATATGAGCTACACAACTTTATCCCATGTGGGATAACTCACCCGATAGTGTTCTAAAAAATCAATAACATCAAAAGTTGTTATCTATTTCCCACCATTCCAACCAATAACATCAAAAAATATAATCCCAAAATTTGTTCCAGTTATCCCCGTATTACCATTAACCAAAATAACTCCTCTAAGGGCAGAGACCTGTGTGCACGATGGAATACCATAAGACTTTGACATTACGATCGATACTAATATGATAAAAAATTCAAACACCACTTAAAAAAAAAAAAAATCAAACGGTATCCAAATGGAAAATGACCAAAGTGATCATGTCCAGCGTAAACGGGCCCATTTACGGACCCAAGGCCCAAAAAACGACCGCCGTAAAGGGTTGCCGTTACCTGACGCTGTCCTCCCTCTGCCCAAAGTTCAGGTGAGAAGTTAATGATACGGAGTCAAAGATTCAACAGTCCCGTGCGCTGGACTCCCCCATCCCAAAACGGAAACAGATGAACGGAGAGTCAGTGGCTTTCTCGTAGTTTTCAGCCAAACAGGAGCCCATTTATTAGGAACACTTTCCATTTCGGGTAATAACCGTAACTGGCGCTTACCGCTTGCGTTAGCCCCCACTTGAAATGACTACTGCCTTATCCGGAACGACAGCCTGGAGTGGACAAATTAAGCTAAATAATAATTGTTTTTTCTTGAAATAACCCTGTGCTTGATTTATTTACATAATAAGCTCTTTGCCCTTCCACGTTTGTAAAATATTAATTGGGTGTTTTCCGGCATTAGTCCCTAGCATCTTTAATATTTAGAAATGCATGTATCAAATAATTGACGTCACTAGGGGGCCGTTTGAATTTCGTGAGTTCTCCACCGAAAAATGGGACACACAATTTTAAAATCCTAGGTTTGCATCAAAATACGATATTTGTTTGTCGTTTTTCATGTTCTGAATTTTGGGATGCCATGTATAATAGATGCATCAAATGTGATTCCCTAAAATAGTACTGATTTCATTCGAATTTGTGCTTTTAGTAATATATCCAATATCCTCAACAAAATGCATGTGCAGCTAAACCAAAAAATTGTTGGATTTTTATTCCTTATGTAAAACACTTCAATATCCATTAAAAATAAACAAAACTTTGAATATGGAAATTTCTAGATCCATATTATGCATCAAAATATAATCCGTGAACCAAATGATTTCTATCAGATCTCTCATTTTTGATAAGCCATTTCAGATGATTCGGTACGATTTGTTAACATTTAAAAGAATATTCACTCCGAGTTAACTTTTTTACTATAGAATGCCAGTTATAACTTAATGTTAAACACAAATCTGCACCCATATGCCCCTTTTTTCTAACCTATTTAAATTGCTGACCCATTTCAAACTCATATGCATTAGAATAAATTTCTTTAACCTGTTTTTTAGGGTAACGATATATACCATTCATGATTAATCACTAAGCCAATCAAGAGATTGTCAGGTTAGGTAGAAAATTCTAAGAAAGTGTTTGCAACTTTGTAAATTTGGGTCATGACTGAACTTGACCTAATTTTGTGTTGTTTCTTGTTTGTCAAAATTCTGGGCAAGATCTGACCCTATTTTTTGTGCCCAAATAGTGTCACTAAACTAGTTTTATTTTGGATCAGTAGGGTCTGGTCCAAAACAAAACTAGTTTAGCACAAAACTAGATCAGGACCCGTCCTCGCCCAGTTTTGTTCCGTTTGCCAAACTGACCCTAAGAGATTGACTAATTTGAACCAATTTATCAAATTTGGAGACATTCAATGAGTTAGAAAGGCTAATTTTTTGGAATATTAAACTTGAAAGGGCCCAGTAGCTAAAAAGGCTAAAGCCTATAATTTTATAAGTTACAAGGATGCTTATGCATAATTGTTGCGTTTATCCTTTATGCTGTTTACTATTTTACCCCCGCGTGGTAAGATGAGGCGAGCGTGAATGCGACCTCAATAAACTCCAACGACAGTGGAGGTGAGTGAAATCGAAGCGAGAGTGGGGTTTCGAGATTCGTCTCCTTTTTTATTTCACGATGAAACTCATTCCGGTGGGGGTTCTGTAGCTCATTGAGGAGATCGGCGGTGGAAAGCAACCGATCGTCGTTTCCTGGGGTTTTCCGGCGAGCTCCGTCGGCGGTCGGCGTTGTCGGTGAGGTTTCTGATGTCGATTTGGTTGTCAATCGATGATTTTCTTGTTTATTGCTGGGTTTTTCCCCCTAAAATTTAGCTGCTGATTGAAGTAAAAGAGCGGGTTTCATTTCATTAGAAGGTTTTCTCTGATGATTGGCGTCTGATTTCGGATCTCTTTCTGGATCTTTGATCGATATTTGCGCAGGTTTGAGATGGAATCGATCTGGTAAAATGCAGGTTGCGATGGCTAGGTTTTTGATGCCGAGGCTAGTTAGAATCCGTTGATTGGATCCATGCGCTGCTCTGTGGCGATTTTCAATGGGAGATCTATTGAATACAAGGTGAGCACGTGAGATCACCGATTTCGGATTGCTCAGTTTCTAAAAATTTCAGACTGTGCATTGATTGTTGGCTGCTTTGGATTAAATATCTGCTACCTCCATGATCATTTGTTAAATATTTTTTTTAATGTTATAGTTTGTAGCTGTGATTCGATTCGTGTGAAATTAAAGAGTCGCATTTGCTGCATTTTTTTTTATAAATATTTGTTTTTTGTGGTCCTTGTTGCTTTAACGGCCTGTTTGGATGGAGGGTAGAGAGGGGGAAGAGAAGGGAAATTTCATTTTAACATTGTTTGGGAGTTTTATTTTGGAAGGAAGAGGAGGGGAATAGAGGGGAAATTTGGCCCAAATTCTTACACCCCAAATTAGGATGTAATGGAGGGGAAGAGAAGGAAGGAGAAAATTTCCCCTTCTTTTCCTTCCCTTGTGTTTGGATTTCAATGGGGTTAAGGGAAGTTAAGGGAAACTAGGTGAGAGAAGAGAAGGGAAGGGAAGGGAAGGGAGTTCCATTCCCTTTGGTTACACCCCAATTTGGGGGTAACAAATTTTATACTACTTCACCTCCTAAATGTTCCCAAACAAGGTGAATGGTTCCCCTAACTTCCCTTCTCCCTTATTCCCCTCAATCCAAACAAGCCCTAAGTAAACTCCCAAACACACTATAAAGCTCTGCTTCACATCTTAATCTTGTTACTTGCTAGTGCAAGTAAATTTTGTTTGTACATTAAGATAAAGATCTATTTCGACCCGAAGATGTAGTCCAAAGTTTCTTTGACCGATCTGATGATGAACAAATGCCTGAAGTGACAGGAGAAACTATATTTGAAAACATTAGTTTTATATTGCTTTGCACTTACTTAGAACTATACATATGGAACCGAGATAAAAAGCAAGATAGTAACTGATAAGTTAAACTCCTTTTGGCTATTTGAAAACAAATTCAATGTAAGCAATGTTTATTAGATTCTTTCTGTTGGTAGTCACCAGCATAAGTAGAGTATCTGAAGGATTGAATTCATTAAGAGTTCCGAAATTTAGAGAGTCACTTGTATCCTGGTTTGGAGGCTTAGTTTTTCTTCTTTTGACTTAATTCTGATTGTTTCAAGGAAATGCTTTCCTCTAGTGTTTTGACGCCCTTTCATGATGAAGTTGTGCTGTAACGTCAACGTATGTGCTTTACATAGATTTATATTGTTTATAGCATTTTTTCCTTTGCACTTATAATTGGCTGCAGCTTCTCTGACATTGGTTTCTGTTGAATCTTATCTATGGATTTTCTGATACATGATCACCTTTACTTATTTAAACTTGTTTGTTTGTCTTTGTATTCAAAGGTATTGTCTTCTTCTGAGAGTAAGCATATCTTGGCTGTTTTGTATGTTAGTGTATAAAGTAAGTACCTTACTGGGTCGACCCAGGTGCATTTGATAAGTAATTATAGAATTTTAATGCAGCTGAAACCCGTTTAAAATCAAATGGACGGTCTAGGTTGTGGCCTTTTATCTTCTTTCTTTCTCTCTCCTAAACTTAAGGTATATGTTTCTGATTCAAACCTAACCCAAAGTTTGAAGATGATTGACTATTACGAGTTATATTACTTTGATTTCTCTACTAAAAAAAGATATAAAGTGTTCTAGTTCGGAAATATTCTATTAATTGCTTCATAGGGTCTTGAATATAACAAAACAATGAATCTTGTTTTAATCAAATAGTCTGGGGTGCGCAAAATGAGTTTTTGTTCTTGTTAAAAAAACAACTACTTTCTCCTTTTAAGCTGCACTAAAATAAATGGTAACATTAAAAAAAATGTTTGCATCCTTAAGAAATTCGTGGTAGCTTCACTTGAGGATAAAATGGAAGACCTATGACCTATCTTATTATTGATTGTGGCTACAATCATGGTATAACTAGTTGGCAAGGTACCCAGAAGGAAGAAGATAGAGGAGAATAAGATGTTCCATATATAAAATCTAATGTTAACGGGATAAATTTACGTCCTATGTTTTAGTGTTGTATAGTACGAACTACGAAACAATAGATATAAGCTTAAGGTAAACGTTAACAGGAAAACTGTCGCATAAACCTTTCTGTATATCAAGGAATTCACGTTACTCTCCATCAGCTCAGTTGAATAAAGCAAAAGCAAAAGCGGACAACCAAGGAGCTTGCCATAAATCATAAAAAGCGAATTGACAGATTGGAAAACCTAAACTATTAGTTGTGGTTTAAGCTTGTGCAACCTACATGCACCATCCGGGTTTCTCTTCAACTGGAGAAAAGTGTAGATGTTATAGGGAATTGTATTAAGCGCAAGACATGGATAAAAATGCAAAGCGTGACGTCAAATAGACTCATTCCAGTCTGTCAGTATATTATGATTTTGGTAACTAAAATCTAGCATGTGGATTATTATCCTTCGACTGATGCAAATTCTTTCACCATCATAAATCATTTTGAAGTCACTGGCTACCTTCATCTCTGTAATTTCAGTTGCCTTTTCTGTTTGACCAATTAATTGCTTGCTTAACCACTTAGTATGAACGTTGTAATGAATCTCTTATGATGCTACCTGTTCACTTGACAGCCAGGAAAGTGCAAAGAAAGCGCAGGGCTAGCAAGTCCGGAACAATGGTCGCTGCTGAAGCATGTTTGCTTTCGCAGTTTTCCAGATCCGCTGAAAAGAATTGTGATCCTTTTCAAAGATATATACTAGCTTACATGCTGCTGGCTAAAGATGGAAGTCTGATGTTGAAAGAGGTGAAGAAAAACATATTTGAGCAGAATTTCTATTTTACACCTATGCTGGATTGCATCATTTTGAAGAAGAAAAATACCGATGTCAAGTCACAGCAAGGCGATAATCAAAACGGCCAGAAATCAAATGATTGCCTTCTCCCTGGCCTTCATGATGATATTGCTCTAGATTGCTTGGCCAGAACGAGCAGATCAGACTATTCTTCACTTGCTTGTCTAAATAAAAGGTTTAACCTTTTGATAGGCAGCGGATACCTTTACAAACTAAGAAGAGAACTTGGAATCATCGAGCACTGGGTATATGTAGCATGTAGCCTCATGCCCTGGGAAGCATTTGATCCTTTTGGACAAAGATGGATGAGATTACCTCGAGTTCCCTGTGATGACTGCTTCTCACTTGCTGACAAGGAGTCTCTTGCTGCAGGTACTCAACTCCTTGTCTTTGGTCGAGAACTCTCAGGCTTCGCTATTTGGATGTATAGCTTGGTTACTCGTGATTGGTCACGTTGCCCACCCATGAACTTACCTCGCTGCCTGTTTGGATCCGGTAGCTTCGGAGAGATTGCTATTGTTGCCGGAGGGGTTGACAACAATGGCCGTGTCTTGAAATGCGCTGAACTTTACAATTCAGAATTTGGCACGTGGGAGACTCTTCCAGATATGAATCTCCCACGAAAACTATGTTCTGGATTTTTCATGGACGGCAGGTTCTATGTTATAGGAGGAATGTCTAGTCACACTGATTCTTTAACTTGCGGTGAGGAGTATAACCTCGAGACGAGGACATGGAGGAGAATTCCAGATATGTACCCTAGTCATAGTACTGGTAATAGGGCAACACAATCTCCTCCGCTTGTTGCTGTTGTAAATAACCAGCTTTATGTTGCTGATCAATCCACGAACGAGGTTAAGAAGTATGACAAGTCTAATAACACTTGGAGTTTTGTTAAAACTTTGCCCGTTAGGGCTGACTCTCATAACGGCTGGGGTCTTGCTTTCAAAGCTTGTGGATCTAAATTGTTGGTGATCGGAGGTCAAAGAGGGCCTCAAGGGGAAGTTGTTGTGTTGCGATCTTGGTGCCCTGAGGGTGGAAATAACAATGGGTGGGGTGTGCTTTCTGTAAGAGAAAGAGCAGGCGGTTTCGTTCATAATTGTGCAATAATGGGTTGTTGAGGTGAAAATAACAGTTTATGCCACGATTGGAGGAAGAGGATTGTTTTCGTGTTGGGTATTCTCTGCTTCAGATTACTTACATTTATAACTGTAATTTATCAATATTGTTGCCTTCTGGCTTTAGTAAGTTTTTAGGATGAGGGGTAGCGTGTCCGATTTAAGTAAAGGCTTTTTGGATCTTCATAAGATTTTATTATTTCCAGGAGTGAAGTCATAAGGTGTAATATCTTCGGAGGAAACCCTAGATTAGCTTGTTCTGTTATGTTGTTCTATTTAGTTTATCCGTGCTGAGATTTCTATTTGCCAAATTGTTCGGGCTCGAAAACTTGTCCTGTTTATAAAGCATGCGGTTCCTTCAGCTCAATATCTGTTTCTTGCATCGAAACGCCTTTCCAGGCCTCGCTGTTCTTGACGATTTGTTTTTGATATCAGTCTTCAAGCAGTTTGCTATTAGTTTCGACAATTCTTCATTGTATCTCTTTTGACTTGTTCAAATTTATTCAGTCATTTTTGGTTCTTTTGTAGTTGAATAAATTGTAACTTTGTTTCTGTTCAGATGCCATAGCATTTGTATTTTGTGTTGAAACTTTAACAGGAATGTCAAACCTCCCAGTTTATTGTTTTGCAGTACAATCTACAGGAACTTGTTCTGATGCTTGTGTAATGTTTATAGATAATAAACCCCTGTACGATTTTGGCTGACAAAAGAATATCTATGTTCGAATTGGAAAATGTAAATAATGCATCGTGATTCACCAACAAATTTGAAACTACAATAAATTCCATAATGAATTAGGATATGATTGGAAATGAGAAGCAAAAAAGTTACAATTCATTCTGATATGTGCTCATAACAAAATTATCATTTTCAATTTTGGTCATGTTTTTCTACTACTAAATAAAGTAATTTGGTTATTTTTCCTATACGACATAAATATCAAATTCACGTCAAATGTTGATATTAGTTTCCGTAATACTGCAAGTGAAAGAAAAAAAACTATATCGAGAATATGGTACTAATAAAAATACCAAACTAATAATTTAACGCTTTCAAAATCACCACAATAAAACTCAAGAGTGTCTAGCTGAGTTAGTAAGGTAATTATGAGCATTATTTTAATGTCTTAACTTTGACTTTTTCTAGAGAGCACCCACATGAATTTAATTTCTTGAAATACATGAGGTTGTGTGTTGGGGGTGCCCCTTAGTGACACCCAATGATTGTGGGGGAAGTTCCCTTAAAAAAAAGGAAAAATTGCCACAATTAGAAATTGAGAAGATAGGCTAAAGATTACCTAAGTCTCACCCATTTTTTTTTTCTAAAAAGCTCTTAGATTTTACCCATTCCTTCTAAAAAGCCCCAACTTTTTTTAACAACTGAACCCTTAAACTTTACCACTTTGTCCTAAGAAGCACCCAACTTTCTTTTTCTGCTAACGAAACCTCCAGGCTAACAAAAAGAATTGGGAGGGGTAAAAATCATGGGCTTCTCAGAATAGATGGTAAAACTTAGGGGCCTAGTAGTAAAAAAAAGAAACTTGAGGACTTCTTAGAAGAGTGGAGTAAAACTTATGAGCTTCTTTTTCAAAAACAGTACTTGAGGGCTGGGCTAATTATAAAGGAGGACAAATTTTCAAAACCAACCCATTTGATAAACTATTCCCCAAAAAAGACCCATTTTAGTTTTATTTGTAAAAACCGACCTGGTTTCAGCCTCAGCGTTGAAACCATGTCGGTTTTTGAAAAAAAGTTTCCGAAACTTCACGGGAGTTCAACTCCCGTGAAGTTTTGTTATGAGAAAAAACTTCACGGGAGTTGAACTCCCGTGAAGTTTCGTAAAGTTTTTTAGAAAAACCGACCTGGTTTCAGCGACAGTGCTGAAACCAGGTCGGTTTCTCTAAATAAATCTGAAACGGGTCGTTTTTTGCAATTAGTTTATTAAATAGGTTGGTTTTGAAAATTTGTCCTTATAAAGGAGGGACCTTTGGGGGTCTTCAGACTATCCTCAGGAATTTGCATTTTAGGACCCGAACTCTAATTAGGTAGGTCAGGAATTTGGCCGAAACCCGTTAACCCGTTAACTGCCCTAGATCTCGGCAGACCCTCCCACTTCCCTCCCACACAAACCAAAACACTGAAACTCTCAAAACACTCAAATCCACTCCCTCCAACTTCTCCTCCTCTCCAAACCCTAACCCTAGATCTCACCCAGCGCGATGGCGGCGATGCTCCAGCCTCAGATCATACTTCTAAAGGAAGGCACCGATGCGTCGCAGGGCAAAGCGCAAGTAGTGAGCAACATCAACGCCTGCACCGCCGTCGCCGACACCGTCTGTACAACTCTCGGCCCGAGGGGAATGGACAAGCTCATCCACGACGACAAGGGCAACACCACGATCTCCAACGATGGGGCTACGATCATGAAGCTGCTCGACATCGTTCACCCTGCTGCCAAGATCCTTGTCGATATCGCCAAGTCTCAGGACTCTGAGGTAACGAAATTAGTTTTAGTTAATTCTAGGGCTTTTGAGTTTTCTACTTTTTAGTTGGTTAGACCCTCGATGAAGATCTACAGGGATTCGACATCATAAGTAGTTCATATGTGGGGCACTGTATGAGAACCAAGGAATGAAATGAGGACGAAGGTTGTTTCCTTGTTCTGTGGAGAAGTTACCTCAGTGTTTGGATGTTAAAGATTCAATCTTTTTGGATGTTGACCAATATTCCAGGGTTTGTCTTCTGGTAAAAATAGTAGATTTCCTGTGAAGTGTCAATTAAGGCACAATCTCAGTTGTAGGCGGTTTGATGTTAAAGATTGGAACCTGTACGTTCTTGTTTTTGTTTTACTTTTAATATTGATGAGAAAAAAGGAGTGGAATAAGAACTCGTTGTATTCATTTGGTAGTCGTTAAGGGACAATTATATCATGATCAACTAAAATTGTGCAATAGTGGGTATACGCAGTTTGATGTAACTAAAATTGTGCAATAGTGGGTATACGCAGTTTGATGTAATAAATTATAACGGAATATCTACGTCAAATTTCAAAATGCTCAGTGGAAAAATAGAATTAAACCTAGAGGAGCAATCAAAATATTTCTTTTTGGATAAGAATTTTGACTGAAGTGAACGACTTAGCGAGTGATTTTTCTTTCAATTATATCTAAAGGCACATGGTCTTATGTTAAAAACTTACAGGTGTCAACTAGATATTTTGCACGCCTTGTAAGTTTGATTGAATGAAAGTAGAAGGACCTTTAAGGAATTATGGGCATGAGTTCTCTTCAGCCACTTCATATTTCATATGGCTATTGATTAGGATACACTTGAGAGATACACAGGTAAACTTATTTTCGGAATATATTGCAAGGTCAGATTTGAACTGACAAAGGAGAATCTTGGTTGACATTGACTGATGTTTTGGACAAAAGATTCTAAAATGGATGGAACACATGTTCTCTTGTAGGGAGGCTACAACATATTTGATCTGTTAGTCATTTTCTTTTTATTTTTCGTCTTTATTCACTGAAAATACTTGCCGATATACTATCACTAACATGAACTTTTCCAATTTAATACTACGTACGATCTGCTAATACCATTGATGGTTGTATATCAGCTTGTCAAATATGTTAGTCTCTGTGATGTATCTACTTCATGGGAAGTTGAGAGGTTACAGTGTTTTTTATTCAGTGTAAATTTTAGTAGAAAACAGTACCTTTCTTACAACCAATTTGAACTCTAGAAATTTTAGTGGCAGCATTATATCTACAATTTAAGCATTACACAAATTTTGTCACATCTAATTTTGTGTATTATTTGTGAAAGATAATCTGTAGTCTCATGTTCTGGCTTGTTGCAGGTTGGTGATGGAACCACTACAGTCGTGCTTCTTGCAGGTGAATTCTTGAAAGAGGCAAAACCTTTCATTGAGGATGGTGTCCATCCTCAAAATCTTATTAGAAGCTACCGAGCTGCAGGCAACTTGGTGAGTGTATTAGTGACTGTCTGCATGATATACTGTAGTTTATTATTCGCTGAACTGAATATTATACCATGTATTACAGGCCATTAGCAAAGTTAAAGAGCTCTCTGTAAGCATAGAAGGGAAGAGCCTTGAGGAAAAGAAGTCCTTATTGGCAAAATGTGCTGCTACGACACTATCATCAAAATTAATAGGAGGTGAAAAAGAATTTTTTGCTGAAATGGTTGTGGATGCTGTCCTTGCTATTGTAAATGATGATAGATTAAATTTACTTGGAATAAAAAAGGTTATTCTCATCAGTCCTTCACGCGTTTATTTGCTTTTTCGCATATGATTTGGTGCTCATTAAGTTCATTTTAAATTTTAGATGACATTGATAACAACTGCAAGCCTAATAACATTAATTCTAAGTTTCTAACACCCATTAAGGCAGCTTTGTTAGCATCTAAACCTATATTGAATGTTCTATTCTCAGAAGTTGGAACTTCATGTTTCAATTATGTTCAGTTTTCTAGCATTTGAAACCCAAAAGGTCTAACTGATATTTGTTTTTTCTGGGTGTGGGTGGGTTTGTGCATTGGCGGGGTTATTGGCTATATGTGCGCGACATTTGAAGTACATTTTGAAAGCAATTGGTATTCTGAAGTGGATGTAAAATTTTAGGTACTGTAAGGTTTCATCATGCATATGGTTAATTACTCGTCTCTTTTTCCTATTGTGTATTTACTGTCGTTGATTAAAGCTTCTAGATGAAAAGATCGTTTTACTCGTCAATTCCAAGCGCATAACTTTTGAATCTGGAACATTGGCATAAAATTTGCGAGGCTAATGTAGAATCTGATACTTCTTATTGCTTAGGTTTAGAATTTATTTTCTGAGTCAAGTCTTTAAGGCAAACACCTCTTCATTTTTATTGTCATCTGTTTTATGACTATCATATCTTATTTCTTATTCTCTTCTTTTTGATGACGTCCCTTTGGGGGGTGGGGGGGATTTGCACCCTAATGATGTGGAATTATTTAAATGTGGAGTTATTTAATTTCTACTGAATGGAATTTTAAAGGTATTGCTTGCAATGAGTTAGTGTGCAGTAAAGGTTTTTGAAGTTCAAATTACGGCTTCTGGTGCAGGTTCCAGGGGGTACTATGAGGGATTCATTTCTTGTTGACGGTGTTGCTTTCAAAAAGACATTCTCTTATGCTGGTTTTGAGCAGCAGCCAAAGAAGTTTCTGAATCCAAAAATCCTTCTGTTAAACATTGAATTAGAGTTGAAATCAGAGAAAGAAAATGCTGAAATCAGGTAAAATCAACTCCTATAAATGTGCTCTGTTTATTTGTTTTTTCATCATGTTTTATGTTTCTCTTATAATCAATTTATAAGTCATTTGTAGACTATCAGATCCACTGCAGTATCAATCAATAGTTGATGCTGAGTGGAATATCATCTACGACAAGTTAGATAAGTGTGTCAAGAGTGGAGCAAAAATCGTCCTCTCACGATTGGCAATTGGCGACCTTGCAACTCAGGTAGATACCTCAATTTTCTGTACAACATAGCATGTTCAAACCATAAAATTTTGTATGGTCTTCAGTATTTTGCAGATCGAGATATATTCTGCGCTGGTCGTGTAACAGAAGAAGACCTGCAAAGGGTTTCTGCTGCTACAGGTGGTACTGTACAAACTTCTGTCAACAACATTATCAATGAGGTATCCTTCATATCCCTCCTTGTACATTTGTGGTTTAGTGAGTGGCAATCAGACAGATGAGTGAATTCTTTAATTTCAATCCATATAGTTATGGCCCCTTTTATTAATTTTCTTCTTTTGTGGTTAACTTGTTAAAGGTTCTGGGGTCTTGTGATGTGTTTGAGGAGAAACAAGTTGGGAATGAGAGGTTCAACATATTTAGTGGCTGCCCTTCTGGTCGGACTGCAACCATAGTTCTCCGTGGTGGAGCAGACCAGGTTTGTCATTAAGAAAGTCTCCCATCAGCTGAACGTTACTGTAGTTTATGCCTAGTAGTCATCATATTGTTTGATGTTTTGCTCTCTCCAGTTCATTGAAGAAGCTGAAAGGAGTCTGCATGATGCAATAATGATAGTCAGAAGAGCTCTCAAGAATTCCACTATTGTGGCTGGTGGCGGTGCTATTGATGTAGGCAATATGATAGTCAGAAGAGCTCTCAAGAATTCCACTATTGTGGCTGGTGGCGGTGCTATTGATGTAGGCAATAGAAACCTGCTAAGATCTGTTTTAATTTGTATTCTTTAGTTAATACTCATTCTTTTTTTTTTTTTGAAAAAAATGATAGATGGAGGTTAGTCGATATTTGCGACAACATGCACGAACCATAGCTGGAAAGTCACAGCTGTTTATAAATTCATATGCCAAGGCCCTTGAGGTGAGAAGCCCGGCAATTATTTTTATGATCAGATAAATTGCTTATATTCTTAGTTATTGTTTAATGCTTGTTATTTTTGGATTTGCCTTAAGAGGGTAGAGGTGTAAATGTGGTTCATCATTTTTCAGTTTTATCCAAGAGTCAATGAACCTACTATAATAGGGGGAAGTTAACAAATAAACTCCAATAGGGTCAGAGGAGTTTTGTACCTCTGAGAACAGCTATCGTCGTGGGACCTTACTAAGTAGATAAATGCAGGTTTAACTACAGAAGCTTTTGCTCCCTTTCATGGCCTTAAGGTAGTGGATTAGAAATCTGCATCTTTGTGTTGGTTTGGACTTTGGAAATTTAGTTGGATATCATGCTTCAATCTTCATCTTCGTGCCTCTCCAGGAATTTTGTGGCTACAATCTAGGGATCTTCCCTTCAGGTGTTAAACCTTGAGATATTCTATGAGCCCTAGTTTTGCGACAACAACCATTAGCAAGTTCCTTTTAGGTCTCCTTGAACGAGTCTAGATATCATGCTCCACCCTAGTCACATTCATTAACTTATCTCTTGTAATTATACAGTTATCGTGCATAAATATGGAAGGGTAGAAAAGTTGTTCCTGTGCCATAGTTGATTGAATATCATTATACTGTGCAGGTCATTCCAAGACAACTTTGTGATAATGCTGGCTTTGATGCAACTGATTTCTTGAATAAACTCAGACAGAAACATGCTTCTGGTGAGCATATTAATGTTATTTAACATTACAAGAAAATACTCATATAGAGATATTAAATTATCAAATATCTACAGGTGAAGGTGCAAATTTTGGCTTAGATATCAACACAGGTGGACTTGCAGATTCCTTTTCTAACTTTGTTTGGGAACCTTCAGTTGTGAAGGTATACTTATGCTCTTATTGACTGAGCTGTTGGTCTCTGTTTCATCCTATGTTAAGGCTTATGATTTCTTCTCTCGTTGGAGATAATACGATCTTAAATGTTGCCTGCAGATTAATGCTATAAATGCTGCTACAGAAGCTGCTTGTCTTATTTTGAGTGTGGATGAAACAGTCAAGAATCCTAAGGTAGATATATTATTCTTTTATCAACAATTTAATACTGCATATTATCTTTGTGATTTACTTCCATGTGCATGTTGACTTTATAAATTTATACTCTGCCTCTGATATGCTTCATCGCAACTCAGTTACCCGTGATTAAAGTAGAGCTTAGCTTCCACGTCTTCCATATGATGGTTTCCCTTCTCAACACTACTGGAATTTACTTTAGTGGGTCGAAGAAGAATTTTATCAACAAACATAGTGATTGGTGCAACAACTAATTATCAGTCCTCGGTGAAATGTTTTGAATCTTGCTTGCTGAATAAAATGGTTTAAACCAGTGGGACCATTGAGTAATTTTCATTTTGGGGTTACAACCGAACTAAAGCTATTTGGAATATGTGTGCTAATAGCTTGACATATAGATGTTCACTTATTGAAAAATATGGGTAGTTAGTACTCACAAAGATCTGCCCTATCCTTGTAAGGCGCTTATGTGTCTGACCTACTGTACATTATGGCTTTTTTAAATCTTTGTTAGCATATTTAACTTGTATAAGGAGTTCCTCTCTTTATATTTTCTGATTCTCTTCCACCTGCCTCCTTTTGGCTGAACGTGTTTTCGTGTTGCATTCGTGTTGCCGTTCTATTCTTTTCATTTTCTTAAGAGTCCACTTACTTCTCATCTGACGTATTGGTAACAAAAGTTTCTCCAAGTGGAACCAATTATATTGTTAAATATTAAAAGTTTCCTGCAAATGTAAGTGATAGCTACTATCTTTTACTGACCAATATATATTTTATCAGTCGGAGAGTGCACAAGGGGAGGCTGCTGCAAGTGCTATGGGTGGTCGGGGGCGTGGTGGTGGAGCCTTCCGAGGAGGTCGTGGTGGAAGAGGCATGAGGAGGCGGTGATTTCTTTTTAACCTTCGTCTGCTTAAGGAGTTAACTTTTGCCAGTTAATCGGGTTGAATGTGGTTCGTCATGATATTTTCACTGCGTCAAGTAAAATGTCTTGTTTGTAGACCCAGTTCATGATGGGAAGTTCTCCACTTAATTTAAAAAGACTCAACCAATCACAATTTTGGATTTGGAATCTCCATTCCTTTGGGTGTTTCTGCTATTGTATTTTCCTTTGCTGAGGAGTAATTGGTTTGTATTGTCATTTGTCTCTTGCTTCTTACTACTACTAATAACTCCGGCTTCTTATACTACCTTGAAATGATACAAACCTTTGTGCGCGCGCGCATGCTTGTTTGGTCATTTTATTTGAGCTTAGCAGAAATTTGAGTCAACTTTTTGCCTTTTATCCTTTCCTTTTATCTTTCTATAGAAGTAGTTTTATATAGTACTAGTTCATGTTTTAAATAGTGCGTTGACCCTTTTATCCCTGAAGGGACCTTGGAAAAGACTTCATTCACTAGTAATCTATGTAGCTCAGCAAGTGGTCAGAAAAATAACCCTGACAATTAAAATGAAAAAGAACAAGAAGAAGAAACTGAGCTAAGGAAACAAATTCAGACGCGGATCTTTTATGATCTCCAGTGGTCTCTTCAGCTGAAGCCAAAGGAAACATGTTTTCCTCGGCTTATTTTTTCTTCTTTATTAATCCTACTACAACTTAGTATACACTGAACTTCAAACTCAACTCAAAGTCATTTCCAATAAGCTGGGTCAAGCCGTCAATTTCTGCCACGCCAAAACTCCCTCGCTTCTCATAACTCAAACCCACCCCTTTCCCTCCCAATTCAACTCCATTCACATACAAGCTATGCATCTCTATACCTTCTTCAAACCTAAGCCCAAGCACCAGAACCTTCTTCACTACCAACTTATGATCCAAAGCGTATGTACCATTAACTAGCACCGACTTGATCTTCACATCTTTGCCTTCAACTTCCGCCGAAAACTTAATTGTACTCCATTCACTCTCCTTTCCTCCCATCTCCACAACCTCTCCATCATCTACAAACACCTCACCTTCAGCCATACCTTCATGTAGCACAACCAGAAGCTCGAACCCGTTATCTCTAGCTAATTGTGTAGTCATCGCCTCCTCCTGCATCGGTAATATATTACCTCCTCGTACATGAACATTTACACTATTTTCAGGCGCTTCTAGCGTAAAATATTCCCCAGAATCAGTAATCATTGTACTTGAGTAATTGAAGAGATTGAACCAAATGCCTTTCGGGAAATAAGCAGTTACTGAATTTACTCCTGGACTTAGGACTGGAGATACCATTACTGCACCTCCGATCATAAACTGTGCGCTAATATCGTAAGTTTGCGTGTCCTCAGGGTCTGAGAAGAAAAGCGGCCTGGCAATTGGAGTACCCTTAGTACGCGCCTCGTACATTAGCGTGTAGAAGTAGGGGAGCAGGCGATAACGCAATCCTAGCGCCTTCTTTGCTGATCTAGCGACCGACTCCCAAAGATAGAGCTCGTGTCTTATCGAACCTTTTGTCGCGTGATTTCGAGCAAAAGGGTAGAACGCACCAAGCTACATAAAAAACCAAAATCATCAACTTTCTGTTGCTCCAATGTAATCTTTAGGTACAGGATTTATTGCAGATACACCTTATGTAATATAGCGGGTTAACAATTTATTATCTCTAACTTTTCCTATTAATGCTAAGAATGCTGACATCCAAACAGAGCTATCTCCATGTTAAATGTAATTGTACGATAAGAGGTGAACACCTATGAAAAAAAAAACTCTCTGCAACAAACTGAAATATTAGGGGATATTTCTGCCAAATGGATACAGAAAACGGAAATGTAACTCTGCTTGGGCATTAAGGGCAATAAATGGCTAATCTCGTGATACAAAGGAAATTATATGCAGTAAACTCATAAAATTTAACATCTGAGTTAAAAAAAAACTTACCTGAATCCACCTTCGGCAAAGCTCCTCAGTAGTATTACCTGAAAACCCACATATATCAGCTCCAACCATAGGAATCCCAAACAGACCAAAGTTCAAAATAGTCGGTATCGAGTACCCCAAATCATCCCATGTTGCTGCATTATCACCAGTCCAATGTGCAGCATACTTCCCCGAACCAACAAACGTGGACCTCGTAAGCACAAACGGGCGCTTGCCCCTAAGTTTAATCAAAGCATCATGAGTTGCTCTCGATTCCAAAAGCCCATGCAGGTTATGTACATTGTACTCAGTCAAGTTCCCATAGTGAATGCTCGATGCAGGGACTGTAAGATTGTTAATAGGCCGCTGAACTCCAGCGTTGTTGATTTTGTATGGAGGGTCGTCGAGGGAGTTGAGAGGAGAGGGAGTGATGAAGTTGGAGATCTCATTCATGTCGATCCAAAGGCCATCGATGGGAAGAGTTTTGTGAAAGATTTCGATTTCTTGGTCCCAGAAGTTTACAGCGTCAGGATTGAAGAAGTCTGGGAAGTAGACTGGACCTGGCCAAACTTCTCCAAGGTAATTGCTGCTGTTTCTCTTTAGAAAGATGTCTGCTTTCATTCCTCTTGTGAATGTCGCATAGCTTTTGTTAACATTGATACCTGTGAGCGACCAATTTATCAGTTGCTAGCATAGAATGTAAATATGATGCATTGTGCATGTATCACATATATCTCAAATATAAATATATGGAGTTGGACATCCTGAAACTGTTTATCTAATTATCTGGGTCTATTGTAATTATAAAATTTGATTAAAGCATACATGATTTTTTTGGTTTGTAGATCTCTGATATCATGTAGATCAGTTTAAACAGGGCAGACCATCAATTCTATAGCATATTATGCAGTTTAATAGACGGAGAATACATCATATATTAACTTTTGATATTTATCACATGTCATAGCATAGCTATAATATGTTGAGTTTAATAGAATTAGTTTGTTCACCTGGGTCTATTATAACGACATATTTCTGCCCATTTTTATGGAGTCGATCAACGAAGGCATTCATCTTGTCAACAGGGAAATTGATGGGATCAAGTGTAAAATCCTTGAATGCATCCATGTAATCAATATCAGTCCACATAACTTCTAGAGGAATTCCAGCTTTTGCATATCCTTCGACAACTCCTTCTAGATCTTCAACATTCTTGTACCCCCATCGACACTGATGATACCCTGCAAAAAATACACTTAGCAGTCCAAATACTTTCCTAGTTTTAGTCTAGGGTCAATTGTATATGGACCCCCTGTAGTATCGCTTTGCACTTACTACCCCCATTGCTTCATTCTGGCAGATATACCCCGGGTTAAATTTTATTTTTTTTACTCCTTTACTCTGGATAAAATTTTACAGATTATTGCCTCTGGATGAAATTAGTGAACCTATTCGAGGGTATGAGAGCCAAAAAATTTCATCCAAGAGGTCTACCTACTTAAAATAAAACTACAGGGGTAGTAAGCTCAAAACAACATACTACAACAGTGCATGTGGAAACCTGATGAATGCAAGTTGTGCTCACCGAATGACCAATATGGCATTGGAGCTGGCCTTCCAATTAGCTCAGTATATTGCTCGATTACATCCTTTGGACTCGGTCCAGCGAAGAAATAGAAATCCAAAACTCCTCCAATAATCTTGTAACTAATAAAAGACCCTCCATAGACAACATCCATACCATTACTATTCATCAACAGAACACCATGAGTTGATCCGTTAGACCTTATATCAATATAAAACGGGTGAGACCCGTATAAGTTCTGATCGATAGTTGAAGCTCCGATATCCGCATTCCATAGTGTTAATGTGTCGTTGGGTACCAATCGAAAATTTTTCTTAGTATGTTCTCCAAGGCCATAAAGGAATGAAGTTGATGGTAAGTTTGATGTGATTTCTAAGTATTGGTCTTTGAATACGATGCCGGGTTCGGATTTTTTAGGGCTTGCGTCGAAGAGAAGTTCACCGGTGGAGCGCCGAGCAATGGAGAAGCCAAAGCGGTAGATTGAGTGAAGTGTGAGAATGAAGTTTGAGTTAGCGATGGTATTTTTCTGTAGAGGAGACCAGGTGGGTTTGCTAGGATTTTGGCGGGGAATTATGTCCTGTGGGATTTCATATCTTCGATTATTTGCGTCTGTTATTTTTATTCGCAGTCGATTCTCAGTTTCAAAGCTGCAAGTACAAAAAGAAGAGCAAATAAGAGAATACTAAAGATTCGAGCCGTAAGCAGCATATAGAAATTTAAGTCTGGTAAACATTTAGGTGTAATTAAGTAACCAGTGGAACTATTTTTGATATGGTAGTAACTGGATTAATTATCTAAGCCTGTAGAATTTTCTTCGAAAAAGTTGGATTATTATCACTAGCGTATTAAGTGCGACTAATTAAAAATTTGAATGAGACAGGCATCCCCCCCTCCGTGTCCATTACGGACGCACGCACACAGACACCAACAGATAAAAGGAAAATTAATTATGAGATAAGATTCAGACTACACCAACACTCGCAAAAATTATTTGGAGATTCCATTAAAATAATGAAGTAGATTCGCATTATTGCACCGTCTGTTCTGTCTATTATTATCTAGCTAGTCAGCAATAGATAATACCAAAGCTTGTGATCGACGAAGACGACGGCAACGTTTTCAAAGCAAAGAAAATGCATCATTTTCTCTTTCTTTTTGAGAATTATTATTAGAAATTGAGTAGTGTAGAATCAAGATATGTATGTTTGAAACAAATATAAAAAATTTTCATCTAAGAAATTAACTACACATCATAATATGATAAACTATCCAGGGTTAAAAAAAGAAAAAGAAAAAAAAACCCATGCATATCAGGGAATCCTACCTTGCAAAGAGATTGAGATTTTGGATATCGGGTCCGTAGACCGATGAATTTTTTATCAGCTTGAGCTCTGCATTCAGCAATTTTCCAGAGGGATCCGAGTAGACTGATCCTAGTTCATATCCGTATCCTACGATTTGTTCATTCTCTTGATAACAAGAGGAAGAATTGAAATAGAAATACGAGCAGAGGAAGAAAAGGTAGAATAAAAGTGAAGCCTTCATCATGCTCATTAGCCTTTGAGCTTTGCCCATATTAATTGTTTTCCCTCCATTTATAACTGTTCCTTGTTTTTGGAAGACAGTCAAAAATGATGGGTGGAAAAGTTGCGTTCACCAATGGGTCTCTCTCAATCCCCCAACCCCACCCACACAACAAATCCCATAAATTACACTGAGCCCCCCCAACAACTTTCTACATTTTGCAGTAAACCCCGCTAACTTTTCAAAATCCCCAATAACTTTTACAGAAGATCCCCACTATCTTTTGGGTAAATTACACTAAAATCCAAATAGCTTTTCAGAATGACTTTTCATGTTGTTATTCGCCTCTAATTTACGGGGTTTCCTGCAAAATGCAAAAACGTATTGGAGATGTTCTGCGATTCTAAAAAGTAATTTGGGGGTTTAGTATGATTTTCAAAGTTATCGGGGGTTTACTTCAAAGCGCTGAAAGTTCTTGGATGTCTCTGAAATTAATCTCAACTTCCTGACCAATTATTTGATGCCTCTGAGTAGTAATTCTTTTTCTTATAGATCAGGCCGAAATTATCTTTGGCAAGCAAAAGGATCATGGATCTTTCCGTCTCAACAAACAAGGAGTGGGACCTTTCCGTACGCACGCTCGCTGGTCCTATGAACGCAACACGGTACTGCGCATGCCATTTTCTCCTTTTTCTTCTTCTTCTTTTTTTCTTTCTTTGTTTCTAGTCAAAGGTGCCCAATTTCTCTTTTCACTGTTTTTCTTTGGGCATGACTTGCTCGTTATGCATGTTTGTATTTATTCAATTATTTTGGAATATGACCACACTGCAAGTCCAACTCCAATATACTATTCAAGTTCATTAACGAATAGAAATTAACTAGACATATATTCAATTTGTTTGCTTATCAAATATTCGTTTAAAATTTGATAGCTTATAATTTGTATTATTATGCATATGATGTTATATCTTCAACCCACTTATATTTTGTATTTTAGCTCTATGTATTGATTTTGAGAGCCTTAAAGAATCTTAAATTAGTTTTCTAATAAAATTTTCGAATTAAACATAAGTTTATAGGAGCTTTTTCATATACGTTGAGTAAAACTCCTATAAACTTAAGTGAATATGAACCCTTTGTCCATCAACTTTTTAATCCATGGATTGTGCATTGAGATTTGTGCTAGCATGTGATACAAATAAAGTCATAAATCTCAAGGATATCATTAATGTTAGCACAAATCTCAAACCATAATGAAGGGATAGAAAGTTCAGTGGACAAGTGCTCCTATCCACTTAAGTTTGTAGGAGCTTTACTCATAAACTCATATACATGAGTAAAGCTCTTATAAACTTAAGTGGGATATGAACCCTTTGTCCACCAACTTTTTTATCCATGGATTTTGTATTGAAATTTGTGCCAGCATGTGATACAAATGAAGTCACAAATCTTAAGGATAGCATTGATGTGTAGCATAAATATCAAAGTATAATGAATGGATAAAAAATTTGGCGGACAAGTGCTCATATCCACTTAAGTTTAAAGGATCTTTACTCATTGAGTAAATATCCTATAAACTTAAGTTGATAGGAACACTTTGTCTATCAACTTTATTTTTCATGGATTTTGCATTAAGATTTGTGCTAGCATGTGATACAAATGAAGTCACAAATCTCAAGGATAGCATTGATGTGTAACACAAATCTCAAAGCATAACGAATGGATAAAAAGTTCAGTGGACAAATGCTCATATCCACTTAAGTTTATAGGAGCTTTACTCTACATACATCATAGCTAATTAGCTATAAAGAAATAGTTTTCATTTATGAATTTAAATACTATTTAAACTTTAAAATCTTTAGCGGAATGAATATACATTGACATTCGATAAATAGTCACGAATATTTATCAAATATTAAATATTCGGACTAGTCCGAATTCAAAAAACTCTAGACATGGATATGCGTATTCAAGTTCGAATTTGATAATATTAAGCAAATCAAATATGAACATCTTAGTATTCGATTGGATTCATTCATTTAGCACCCCTAGGCATAACAGATAGAAAGCAACGATGTTATTTTATTATAAATTATATTTACCAGAGATGGAGCCACATTTGATATGTATATCTCCGGGAACATATATGAATTCAAATTCAAATGATATAATTCTTGAAATATAGTTATGGAAATAACAATAAAACGTATTCATAAAACTATCTATAAGCCTTTGACTAACCAAGAATTATATATCATCTCTTTAGCCATGCATTTCAGCCAGACAGCAGGAGATACTGATGACATTAAATTTAGATTTCACGGCAAAAAGGAGAAAATGCACGAAAATGTTTTCCCCACAGGAACACTCGTCAATTGTGGTACAGTTTAAGCATTCTGATCAAACTGAGACCCACGCATGAATTAATAACATAAATCTGCCATTTAAGTCCAGTAGCTAGCTTTTAACAAGATCTCGAAAACGTTACACAAGTATCCAACAGACAGCGAGGTTTGTGATTAAATAACGTCTATATCAAATTTAATGCATATAAAGAGGGCACTTTGCTGCTATCATTTTTCAGGTGATACTGTCAAAACATGCATCATAATGTATCACGACTTCAAGAAGCTCTGCCACGATCATCTTTCTTATTCCTCTTCAGCAAGATATGGCCTCAAGAAGCCTGTTCATTAATCCTGACTACTGTCCTGAAGAGGTAGAAACCTCACAGCTGCAAATAGGGCATACCTGAAAGCAAACAAGGATATTGCAATAGATTAGCCGCGTGGTGAATCACGGCAGGTATCAATTCACTTAATGTAGTTCTTCAATCAATATTTGAGGAGCACTTCAAAATATATCCTGTCATCTCCTAGTTGGGTGAGGAATAAAACCAAGGACTAGGGCCCGATACGTAAATTAAATATAGCTAATTCTACGAGATATAGCATTTGTATATCTGATCTTTTTTTAGAAGAACATTTGTTTATCTGAAGCAAAGTTTAAGATTCGTACAATTTAATGCAAACTGTTGTCTTCAAGTCTTGGTAGGAAGTGGAGCAAACATTGGTTATCTAATGGTTCTATTCAATATCTCGC